CTCCGATTAGAGACATGGCCCGGTATGCCCAAAACACCACCTGCGGTCACACGTGCCCGTGGGGCAGCGGTGATACCGACATGCCTGACGCATTCACCATTGCTGCCATGAAGGCTGCACGTCGGAGGGAGTCCAAGGAGACGATCACAAGCGAGGCACCGGACGTTGGCCGATCTTCTGAAGCTGGGAGCCTGGAACAAGCCCAGGTTCCGAAGCTGCAGGACATCTCTCCACGCCCGGATGCTTTGAAAAGCTCTCGTTCCACGGAGGCACTGACCACCTGGCGCTCCGCGGCCTCGCGGGCTTCGCGCGCCTCCCGGGCATCCACCAGCAAAAGCGGCAAGGGTGTCGAGGCGAAAATGATGAACTTGATCCAAAAGTGCCTGGACAAGAAGGTGCTTGAGATGCAAGAGGTGAAGGTCCAACCGCCCGCCAGTGAGGTGAGCTTGAGTGCTCGCTCCAGCGAGACTGTGCTGACTCAGATGACCCAGGTCGAGGCACCATCCCATGTCGAGACCGACACGAGCGTGAAGGCAGAGCCTCAGCCAGAAGCGGTGACCATGGCCGGCAGGCGGGCACAGGCACAGAAGCTTTCCGGTGCTGCACTTGGTAAGTTCGACGATGACCAGTCACGCTTGGCTTACCTGGACATGCAAAAAAGCGCTGCAGATGCTCGCAACAAGAATCGCTCTTCCCTCTGCTTTGGATACGAGCCACCCTCTCGTGAGCCACAGGCAGAAGGCCAAAGCATGGCCAACAAGCGTGCTCAGGCTCAGAAACTCTCGGATGCCTCCCTTGGAAAGTTTGATGCCGACCAGTCTCGCCTTGCTTATCTCGAGATGCAGAAGAGTGCCGCGGAGGTGCGGAACAAGAACCGCTCCGCCCATTGCTTCGACAAGGCAGACGTTCCCCAGTACCCCGCTCTGCTGCACAAGGCGGACGGGCCAGTTGACAAGAAGGGCCAAGGGACGCATGCCACCATGGCAGGCAAGCGTGCCAAGGCCCAGAAGGTTTCGGAGGCTACGTTGGGCAAGTTCGACGCGGACAAGTCCATGGATGCATACCTTGACATGCAGAAGAGTGCGGAGGAGCTGCGCAACAAGCACCGGGTCGGTCAAGGCATCTTCTGAGCAGATCCATCAAGAGCTTTTCAGCTCTGTCATTTTTGGTTAGCAGGTTTAGCCCAAAGCAGGGGCCCCCCAGTTTCTCTTTGAATCAGAGACCTGCGTGTTGGCCGTGTGGCCTCACTCTGAGTTCCAGGTGCCTGATAGGCGCGTCTGGCGTGGAAGTAGACTGCGAATCCTGCGACATATGCAGCATGCCCAAGTCACACCATGTCAGACCTCACGCCAGGCGTGCCTCAAGATCAACAGGTCGATCAGGCTCCTGCGAGCTAGGGACTTGTGTGCTGGCACCAGCTGAGGGATCCACTCCTACAAATGGAAGGGATACATGTACAGCCACTCTGGCGTCGCTCAGCTTCCGCTTCGCACAGCCTGACTTATGCGTCACTTCAACTGCACAGCATTGGAAGCATTTGAGATGTTCTTGCAGAAGCTCCTGCTCAGAGAAAGCTCAGTGCTCCATGCAAGGTTCGACATCGGAGTAGTGTTTGTCCTG